CTACAGATCGAGTTCCAAGCCAGCCTCCAAAGCTACAGAGAAACCAAAAACAAAAAAACAAAGCAAAAGAAAGAAAAGCTCATTCATTCATTCATTCACGGTGACACAGTGACTAATCACCCACCATGTGCTAGTTAGTACTCAAGATCTCAGGGTGAACCGACAGCTGAGGACTTTGGGAAGGTTCTAGTGGAGGCAAGAGCCCATGTCCCTGCCTGAGATGGCCTCAGAGAATGGAGTGTGATGGGGAAAGGCAGGGAAAGGGTGTCACCTAGCTAAGGGACCAAGATATCCTTTCTAAATGAGGAAAGGGGGAACAGTGAGATGATTTCTTGGGAAGAGACAACCTAGTGAAGGAAATCACCAAGCAAAGACTTTAAAGCAAAAACAGTACCCCATCTTCAGGCAACACAAACAAGGCCAGCCTAGCTGGAGTCCAGTCTGAAGCCTAATATAGCAGAGACAGGTGGCCTAGTGGGTCTGAGGAGATGGTCTGAAAAGGGCAGCTGGCCATTAAGGGCAGTGTGATGGCGAAAGGCAGGAAAGGAGTGTCATCTAGCTAAGGGACCAAGATATCCTTTCTAAATGAGGAAAGGGGAACAGTGAGATGATTTCTTGGGAAGAGACAACCTAGTGAAGGAAATCACCAAGCAAAGACTTTAAAGTAAAAACAGTACCCCATCTTCAGGCAACACAAATAAGGCCAGCCTAGCTGGAGTCCAGTCTGAAGCCTAAGGTAGCAGAGACACTTGGCCTAGTGGGTCTGAGGTGAGGGGAGGGTCTGAAAAGGGCAACTGGCCATTAAGGGCAAGTCAAGGTGGCAGGAGCTTGAAGCTGCTGGCCCCTTCACATCCGTATCCAGGAAGCAGAGAGCGATGAACACAGGCTGCCACTCAGCTCCCTCTCTCCACTTACACAGTGCAGGACCCCAGTAGGGGATGGTGCCTCCCACAGTGGGCAGGCCTTTATACCTCAGTGTAACCAGGATGACCCAGACAGGCACACCCAGAGGCTCATCTCCATCAAGTTGACAACACTAAACATGACACCACCCAACTCTGCTCCACTTAGGACAGTATCAGACCTGTGCCAACACTAGCTCCCCACATCCACTCAGCCCAAGGCCAACTGAAGCACTTTTCTGAAATGAAGCAAGCTCTGAAGATACACAAGTGTGAGCTGAGTAGAGCATGGGCCTAACCAGACAAGCTCTAGGTCTCGAACAAGCCCACCAACAGTGCTTACCTGAGTTCCTTGGGACTGAGAACACATTAGTGCCCAAGAGATGTGAGGGTCAAGCTGCCCAAGGCCTGGTCTGGCACCCAGTTTGAGTACCAGCTCCTCCCTGACCCACTGACCTACTGGTACCTTCATCTCTCTAACCAAAGTCACCTGGCTATAAAAATTAGGATATCATCTACCAAATAGCATCATCGTGAGAGTCGGGCTGCAATGAAACATCCAATCCTCCATCCCCGCCCCAGATCTCATTTTGTTTCTGACTTCAGTTTTTTTTTGGGGGGGTTTCTTTTTGGTTTTTCGAGACAGGGTTTGTCTGTGGCTTTGGAGGCTGTCCTGGAACTAGCTCTTGTAGACCCGGCTGGTCTCGAACTCACAGAGATCCACCTGCCTCTGCCTCCCGCATGCTGGGATTAAAGGCGTGTGCCACCAACGCCCGGCTTCTGACTTCAGTTTTGAAATAATTTGAACAGAGATTATACCTATTAAAAACAAAACAAAAAACAAACAAACAAAAAACTCAATAAAAGAGCCAGGAGTGGTGGTTCAAGCCTGTAATCCTTGCCCTCAGGAGATGAAGAAAGAGAATCTGGCTCCACCCTCTCCCTCAAAAAAAAGCTATGAGCTTCTCTTCCATCCACACATTTAGTCAGCATGCCTTCTGAGAGCCTCACTGTGTCCCAGGCGC